TCGCTTCTCTATTTACCTGAGCATCATGGGGCTGTGGGAACCTTCTGTTGAAAGTTCCTCAATCTGAAATGGATTTTGTACTTGAGCATATAGTTCAGATGAACGATTTCAATGAATATCAGGATTAGTTTGAATATGCTAGAAGATCCTTGAGAATCAGCCTTTCAAATGACTAGCAAGAAGTAGACGTAAACTTAAAACTGTTTCTGAAAATGGCATTTCAGCAGGTAGCATGTGTTTAATTAATTTTCTTTTTATCGACTTATGGCGTCACTTTGGATCATTAAAAAATAGCACTGGCTCATTATTTTTTCCAAAATGTTAAATTTTAATTACTCAAACCACCCGTCAAGATTGTCTCTGACTTTTGGAATGTCATACATATGTACAAGCTGAGTTAGTGTGAATGGTGAGGGGTCCCTTGCAATGTCTGACTGGGTAAAAATTTTCAGTGAGTCTAGTAAAATGATCAAGATAAGATTTGCAATGGGGAAATAGTGTCTTCTGCCAAAACAAAAAGAATAGAGGAGTGTAGGATATGATAGCCTTAAGTTTAATTTACATGTAGATGTGCTTCGAAAAAGCATGGCAAGTGTATGACAGTCATATAATGTCATTGTCACACAATTATGCATTATACATATACTGCTTTATGATTCAACCATTTTGGTGTGACAGTTTTGATTCATGTTATTTTGTACAGCACAATTATTCAGTAATTAAAAAGCTTTTAGTAGACAAGGACTAAAATGTTTTCTTGCTCCTACCATGAGAAATTTTGTTTCTCAAATTAGAAAAATAACGTTCAACACTTGTAGTTGTTTTTTATGCTGTACATAGAATTTTCAATCTTCTTGCTTTAATATCAATATGTTCTTAATAATTAATTAGTTTTATATCATATAATTAATCTTACTTTTTGCTCTCAATTCCCTTATACATATGTTTAGTCAATTTGTTGACTCTGTCAATACCTTTATTTCATAGTTAATTTACATATATTATTTGTTTTCTCGACACACTAGCTGTACATGCTAGGAGCCTAACAAGCTCCAATTGATCGAGTATAAATAAAGTTGTTGTTGTTGTGTTTCTCATCACATCAAATACCATATTCCCTCCATTAAGCCCCTTGGCAGTGGGTACACTTATTAAAAGAAGTCTCACAAAGGGTGGGGGACTTAATAGAGGTGGAGGGAGGGACTTAATAGAGGAGGAGGGGGGGGACTTAATAGAGGGAGGGGCTTATTAAAATTTTCTGCGTCAAAGTGTTATGCTTTACATCCTAACCCTATTCTGTCCGGGGAGGTAAGATAGTTTGCACACTTAAAACTTATGTTGCTTGAAAGAGCATTGAAGTGAGAATGACCAAACTTTGTGACTGTTTCCAAAAATTATTTGTCAATTGTTTACTCACCTGACTTGATGTGTCCATGAAAACCAAGTTTTGCCGTTCAACCAAATTTGGTGCATTTTCAAGCTAATTTTTGGTTTTATTGAGATTTTCCCATTTTATGGAGAGTTTCTTCTTGAATCTTTACAGTTTTTGCATGATCCTTAATTTTTTGGGATTTTTTAAAATCAAAATTTGGAGATGCTTTTGGACATCTCTGAAAAGTTTTGAAATCCAAGATGGCAGATGTTTTTAAATGTTTAGCATCATTTTGGTGTGATGTGACATCATGACTGGCCTGTGACTGTCATCAAAATAAATACTTTAGGATGCTTCATACACAAATGAAAAAAGCCATGGCAAAATAGATTAACCATAACAGTACTGGTAATTGTAATATAATTGTAATGTGAAGCTGTCTTTTTTATTATTACTGCACCTGCATTTTTATTAACAGTAACAATAATTTTTGAAGCCATTTAACTACAAGGTCTAAAAGAGCTCATCTGTCCAAAAAGTTATAATCACAGGCTTTCTAAAAAAATAACTGTGATTACTGCATTTGAGGTGCAGGGTTGGCGTAGTGGTGAGAGCGCTCGCCTTACTCCAATGTGTCCTGGGTTCGATTCTCGGACCCGGCGTCATAAGTGGATTGAGTTTGCTGGTTCTCTACTCTGCTCCGAGAGGTTTTTCTACGGATACTCCAGTTTTCCCCTCTCCTCAAAAACCATCATTTGAATTTATTTAATTCAGAAGTTTATTTGATTTACACACGACCCCACAAGCTGTTCAGCTTTGAAACACATCGTGTTTAAATAAAGGTATTATTATTATTATTATTATTATTATTATTATTATTATTATTATTGTATGCTTTAACATCAACCATGACATGAAGCTAACTAAAATCTCTAAAAGAGTTCATATTTCATGTGATCATCTTGCGACTAGCAAATTGAATTTCTCATTGGTTTTCCAAAAGGGCTAAGGAAATCCAATGGTTACCTTTACAAGCATCGATAATAACAGTAACTTGAAAATACGGTGTACATGTAACTGGTTCTCTAAGCAGAGTTCATCAGTCCAATAATAACATTTTCTTACTTTCATATTAGATTTTTCCTCATTAAGAAATCGCAATATTAACATGAAGGAAAAGTACACTTTTTAAAAATATAAACAGAATATCATTTACTTGACCCTTAACGATATCCTTGTATAAAGGATAGCTGGCATCATGCCTTACCAAAAGATTGCCCCTTGTGCTAGATTAAAACGCTTCATTGAATTCATCAGCTATTTTCATATAAGCAACGGGTAAAGTGATTTCTTTTCAGTTTTGCTCAAGCTCCAACAACAGGGAAACAGATTCGGTGATTTGGATTATCAATGGTACAGTCCCTTGAAGGATTTACGCAGTTTGAGCGAAACAGGACTAAAAAAGAAGACCAAAGAAGATCGACATCGAACAAGTAATGGAGGCACCGCTGACCAAAATCCGCTAACCAGTCATTTGGGACAGAGCTGGGACATTTGGTTTAGCTATAAATACAACAGGTTATCCATTCTGTTGAGGAAATTGCATCGTATGCGGACTTTTCAGACGTAAACCAATTGGGAGAAACCTAGGAATTTATCAGTGATACACACGTGGCATACTCTCGAAGTGATTCCCACCAAACCAGGAATTAAATGTTTGAATGAAATTGAAACTTGTTTCTTTTTTAAATGTCGCAGGCTTCAAACTGCTGTCATAAATTACATAATGAAAACTAAATTTACCTGTCAACTGCCATCCTCTGAATCCGTTTATTTCCCAAAAGATGCCATTTCTCAGTTCTAAACACCTGAAAATATTAAAAATGATATTTTGCTTTACTACTGCGATAAAAACATCAAATATTTCACATTTACGATCTACTATTTAACCTCATGTAATATCCAGTTCTGTTAATAAAATTGCTCTGCTATTTATCAAAAGTCATCTTGTACATTCATTTGTTGCTTTTGTTAGTTTGTTTCCTTTTTAGGTTATTTTTGCATTTTTCTGTATTACAATGAGGTCATCCTGCGATTTAGACTCAGTTATTTTCCTTTCGGCGGAAAACATCCGCAACATCGTGATTCTCCTCATAGCAGGACACTCTTCGTCATATAAAACTGAATCGAAAAGAATGAAGTCAACCCGTGAGTTTTATTAATGTACCAAGACGACAACGAAGTGATATCAAATCAAATTCAAAGTGCTCTAATACTTAACCCACAAAATCCAAAGATAGGGTTGATACTTCCCTTGTTGTTTTCTTATGAATTTCCTCGCGATTTATCTGGGAGAATATGGTGTTCAATCTGCAAAATATTTTTTTTTTTTTGGGTATTTCTATAATTCTCGTAATAAATTGTTTGATTCACATCAGTATCTTTGGGAATTGTTTTATTTTAAGCTCTTGTGGGGGTCGTAGAGCTAAAAATGTAAAAAGTCTTTCCCGTGATCTCTCCATGAAAAGCGTTGGGATTTCCTCAAATTTTCACTTTTCCGCTTTCACCTCGACAGCCCCATGAAACTTCTAAAAATAATAACTATGAACTTATTTCATGTAAATGACACGCGCCAATTCTGCACTGAGGATGTTTGCAGTAAAACGCACGGATGTTGCGAGTAACTTCGGTGGTGTTATAGATCTCATCCCCATACAATCATTTTGAAATCACCAAAGCTGTTTTTTTTTTTCTTCTACACATACAGAGGACGCCAATTGGCGTCCTCTTCATGGAAGATCATAAACGGCGAACTTTATTTCTTAAGTTTTCAATCGTTAGTTTTCTCTCACTAAAATGAGAATTTAGTGCAAAATAAAATAAATTTCTTTGTTATAATCTCTGATGCTTTTCTTTTGCGTATTGCATTCATCTTCACTTTTTGACTGAATAAACAACATAAACTGATCACCGTCGGGTTATATATAGAACTGGATGGAAATGTCATCAAGGTAGCAGTTATTTGCGCGATATTTACTGTGGAAAATTAGCCGTTACGACAACCTGTATTGGCTTTGCTCACCTGAAGAATGCTTGCAATAAAACTACAAAAAGCTCTCTTCCAAGAAGGATAGCGACTTTTCGTTGAAACTATAGGAAACAGAATCAAAGCGTTACGCGTTTCATGAAGAAAATGTTGACAGTTTACACCGGATGAAATTCGTGCACTTTTTAGAGAAATGTTAGATACAGATATTCAGGTCGTTGCCGAAACATCTCTTTTTGGAGAGACACTTCTAAAAAATGTTCTAAGAAAAATGTTATTGTTGCAGATTTCTGCAAACTTGGACAGTGTAACTTGGAGAAATCCGAGTCTCTCTTAATGGTTTTAGAGCCCCAGTTTTTCCAGATTCTGCGTTCAATCGCTGTAAGGGAGGCCATATACTAAGATTCGTATGTGACAAGCGCCGGTCATAATGCTGGAATCAACCAGCATATAGTGGTTTCATAGATCCTTCATAGACAGATAAATCAGCTACCTCAAAGTCTATAATTTGGATCTAAAGTCGACATTGTGAAAATTTTTTCTATCGTTTAATCTGATGATAAAAGAAAGAGACGAAATAGCTCGCTTGTTCATTGATCGAATTAAGAACAGTTTGGTTCGTTTGTCACAATTATATAATAAAGAATAAATCTGAGCCTCCTTGAGGATTCAATCAGGCTCTAAACCTGCAGATCTTCTCTTTTAAATTTCTTCATTCGACGAATGAGTTCGAAATTTATTCTCTCTTTTTATCTATTTTCATAACTGAAGCTTTTCACATTGACTCGCGTGTTATATGACACAGGTGTATGTCTTGGCTCATTAAAGAGTGTCCTGTAGATCTATGGTAGAGTGGTAGAGCTTAACATCGTAAAACTGGAACTTCAGAGATTCGAATCGTCAAGGAAAACTCAATATCTCTTTTTCTCATGCTTGTGACGCATAAATATAATATTTCTTTGAGTTTTTCGTCTTCTATTTAACTCATTTCTACCGATATATTTAATCACTAACCGCTTAACATTGTATATCTCTTATATCCCAACTAAGTAATTCATTTCTCACCTTAACTCTTGTGAAAATGTGATTTTACCCGCAAGCGTGTAATAAACGGTTCACTTGGTAACACGAGCAGTTTGGATGAAGCTGAACCCTATTATAAGCATGGGGAAGTCGGTAGAAACCGAAAATTAACAACTGTTTCTTTCGACTCACTCGTAAGTCATTAATTTATTCTGTAGCTATGCTATTTCACTATTTATATGCCAAGTTGGTCTCACACGTCATATTTTCGCCTTTCATTTTCATTAATCTGAAGTATGGCAAAACTATATTAATCTTCATGCTTTTCAGTATTTTTTTGCTAGTATGGCTGGTCATTTAAGAATCATGTCTTTTCCAAAGTTCTATGCCGTGTGTCAACTCTAAGTATAAAATCAAGATTTATTTCAGAAATAAAATCGACCAAAACTAACCTTGAAAAATCTTTCAAATTTGCCCTCAACGCCTCTCTACGTTTCACCGCAAACATACTCAATGCAGAATTGGCGCGCGTCATTCACACGAAATAAGTTCATCGTTATTATTTTTAGAAGTTTTATGAGGCTGTCGAGGTGAAAGCGGAGAAGTGAAAATTTTAGGAAATCCCAACGCTTTTCATGGAAATATCACGGGAAAGACTTTTATTCTATGTACAGTTTTTTACCTCTGAAGCTCCCACAAGAGCTTAAAATGAAACATTTCCAAAAAATACTGATATAAATCCGACAATTTATTGCGAGAATTATAGAAAAACTGAAAAAAAGAGAATATTTGATTTTGTCGATTGAACACCATATTCTCCCCGATAAATCGCGAGGAAATTCATAAGAAAACAAAAAGGGAAGCATCAAACCTATCTTTGGATTTTGTGGGTTAAGTAGTAGAGCACTTTGATTCGATGTCACTTCGTTACCACGATATTGTTTTCGAGCAAAGCTGTGAAATCAAGAGAACATGTCCTCTTGGTATATTAATAAACTTCTTTTCGATTCAGTTTTGTATGGCAGAGAGTGTCCTGCTCTGAGGAGAATCATGATGTTGCGGATGTTTTCCGCCGAAAGGAAAATAACTGAGTCTAACTCGCAGGATGACCTCATCGTAATACAGAAAAATGCAAAAATAGCTTAAAAACGAAACAAACTAACACAAACAACAAATTAATATAAAATTTAACTTTTGATAAATAGCAGAGCAATTTTAATAACAAACTTAGGTCCCGAATATGAAATATTAGATGTTTTTATCGAAATAGTGAAGCTAAATATCATTTTTGATATTTTCAGGCATTTAGAACAGAAAAATGGCATCTTCAGGAGAATAAAAGGATTCAGAGGATGACAGTTGACAGGTATATTTAGTTTTCATTATATAATTTATGACAGCAGTGTGAAGCCTATGACATTAAAAAATATAAACACGATGAGACTTCATTCGAATATTCCTTGTTTACTGTGAACCGCTTCGAGAGTACGCCACGTATGTATCACTGATAAATTCCTGGGTTTCTCTCAATTGGTTTACGGCTGAAAAGTCCGCGCACGATGCAATTTCCTCAACAGAATGGATAAACCTGTTGTATTTATAGCTAAACCAGCCAACATTTCTAGAAAACGAAATTGAGCGTGACAACAAACGTTATGACAATAAAAAAATAAGAAAATAAAGACACAAAGAAAATACCAGATAAATCCGCGAAACTCGTCGTAGTTTTCTCTGTTTTGACTGACATAAAGACATATCGGTGACTCTGTTGTAGCTAGAACTTCCGGAAAACCAGTACAACACGAGCCAAATGGAAAAAAAAAATTGACTAACTCCGAAATGAAGAAGTATTAAACCTCTTAAAATAACCATTCCGCGGGATCAAAGCAGGAAATCACGAGAGAGCAAATTTTGATTTTCCTTTTTGGGTAGCCAATCAGAGCACAAGATTTCCTTTATCTGATCTTGCTCACTCGCGGGTCTCTCATCGCATAAGAACAGCATAAAAATATGAGGAGAAAACGTCAATAGAAGCTGGGAATAGTGAAAATTTTAATCCCACAACGACGTTTGTTGCTAATTCTTGATCATGATCATGATCATGTGTGAAAATGAAATTTCAAAGACGTCACGATTAAATATTATGGTTTTCCGATGGCTTGTGAACATTATTCGACCTTCTTCGCAAAGCTCACCATCCTAGTTATGTTAACCTTTATAGATGTTAAATTTTAGTCTTCAGCAATTTGAACTACGTAGCCACAAAGTAGTTGCTCAAAATTCTAACTACAGCTTTCTATATAAATTTTCAATTAAGTATTCGCAAGATCATTAACAACGTAGAATTTTAATAAGGGAAATCTTTGGAACGATGGTGAAGACCGTGCATCGTTCACATGCAGTTATGTAAAGCCGGATTGCGTTGTAGAAAGGTGGAAATAATTTATTAGATAAAGACTTTATCTTCTTGAAGCGTGGGTCATACATAAGTAAAGCAAACAAACTACACGGGATTAAAACAGTAAAATCATAACTTGGGCAGTCCAATTTTTTGACCGTGCATCGTTTCACATGTGGTAAATTAAATATGACGTTGTTGAGAGATGGCAAAAATTTCTTAAATAAAGACTTAATCTTCTCACAGGGTGGGTCATCAGTAAAGCAAACAAACTACACGGTATTACAAGAGTAAAATCATACATTAGGTAGTCTAATTTTTTGACAACTACTACAGTTGTCATCTCATATCGAGTTAGTAGCTACTTCCTCAGTAATTTTGAACTTAAAAAAATATGCATGCAACGAAATCACTTTTTTTCGGAAATGTCTTCAAACAAGGCCCCAGCAAGTGATGACTGGGTACTAGAATATCCAGAAGATGTGGCCTGGTGGCTTATTTCTCCTTTCTGCCATCAGATCCTTTTTCAATCCGACAATTGCCAATGTTTCTTTTATGCTAAGCCTTTCATCATACGATGTTTTACCCTTACCCATAATAAACGATGGGCAAGGTCAAATGGATGCGTTTTGGATACTTTTGCAATCAAATACGTCNTGTATCACTTATCAATCCTAAAAATGAAATGTCTATGCATTTTGCTCGGCTAAGAAGTTTAAGCTATCCAAAACAAACTACATTAGCATTTTAAAAATTATTGATCTACGTTGTCCTAAGGTTGCAAAGCGGTAGGTTTACTGGGACTTTAGAAACGTCTGAGACCCTGCAAACTATTTGTAGTAAATCTTCTCTGAACCCTGGCATCCGAAGAGCGTAAATGACAGGATTTACAAGCGAGTTACCCAAGAATAGAACCAGCACAGCCATCGAAATGTGAAAATGCGTTGAAGAAGAGGAGAAAAGGTTGCGAGAAGCTGCATATATTATTGCTGGTAGAAAACAAAGTAAAGATACAAGTGAGACGATTAGCGAGGTACCTGTCAGTTTTCTTTCTCTTCTGGATCCAGAATGGAATTGAGGATGACGATTGCATTGTACTCTAATAACAATGAAAATGTAAGATACACAAATAACAAATACAGAAACTGCATAAAATAGGAGATACAAGTAAGCATTAATTTCTTCTAAATAACCAATTTCCCGTAGGAAAATCTGAGCGGCTTCTCTTACAATCGTCGTCAGCCAAATGACAATAATCATGACTTCATAAACACATTTCTTAACAAATCGATGCCTGAATGGACAAAATGTTGCATGTAGCCTATCTAAAGAAATAAACAAAAGATTTACAAGGGAAGTGAACGAGAATAGATGTAGAAATGCAAATGATAAATAATGAGACCAAATAGTCTCTCGTCTATACTCCCATAGATGACACAGCCAAGACATTCTGGCTTCAATCTGTAGTGGCCCGGAGACTGCGCCCACTAAGACATCGACTATCGCCAGATGAATGATCAAATATGTACTCCGTCGCTGCAGTTGACGCTTCTTCTTCACAAATACAACGATGGTGATGATATTAAGGATGACTATGGCCAGACACTCTATGATAAGGACTACAAGCCATGGAATGCACTGCCACGTCGAATTGAAAGGCCACATTTTGTTCGAGCTTTGTGATCTGCTATGAAACAGAACTTAAGTTGAATTCGAGATAAGATTAAAATTGAATTAAACCTTCTCAAAGTAGAAATATATTTCAAATATTTGTAATGCACTTGGACTATCTTAGCTTTGTCCGATGACTTATACTGATCTTCATGTTTCTTAATGCGAGATTTATATCCCGAAATGTAATCATTCAGCCTTTTCTTTTTTTCTTTAACGAAGAATATTTACATCATAAAACCATTTCAATGTACCTTGACTGAATAAACAAAAAGCTTTGCCACAAGAGATCTCAATTTCTTCAACTCCTTGTACGAACTGAAATTTGTAGCCACCAAAAGAGGATAGCAACAAATTTCCGGGAAAAGAGTAAAGGACTGAGTTGAAAGACCCGATCCTCTTCTCGGAGCTGCTATTAGACATACAGCTACTGTTGTCAGCCTCCATGAAAATTTCAAAGCCAAAATCAATTGCGGGTATGGGGAAATATGTTAATATTTCTAAAAGCAAAAGCTATAATATTACACTATTGCCTTTTTTTCGCTTCGGATGAATTTCTTTTTTTTTCAACTTAATGAACAGCAAGCTAGAAATACTGAGAGGTCTCTTTAGTCGCGTTATAGATCTCATCTCCACACTATCATATTGGAATCACCAAAGCTGTTTTTTATTCTCTTCCACTCATGCAGAGGACGCCAATTGGCGAACTTTATTTTTTAAGTTTTCATTCATTAGTTTTCTCTCACTAAAATGTGAATTTGGTGCGAAATAAAAATAGATTTCTTCGTTATAATCTTTGATGTTTTTTTTATTTTTTTGTATATTGCATTCATAAGCTAGCCCGGGATAAAAGGTGATGGGATAAGGTTTCCTTGGACCTATGCTCCACTGGGAGTGAAAAGGGGATATATAAGCATATTGCATTCATCCTCACTTTGTGAGAATAAGCAACATAAATTGATCACCGTCGGGTTATATATAGAACTGGATGGAAATGCCACCAAGGTAGCAGTTATTTGCGTGATATTTACTGTGGAAAATTAACCATTACTACAAGCTGCATTGGCTTTCCTCACCTAAAGAATGCTTACAATAAAACTCCAAAAAGCTCTTTTTCAAGAAGGATAGGTGACCTTTCTTTGAAACTATAAGAAACAGATTCAAAGCGTTACGCGTTTAATGAAGAAAAATGTGACAGTTTAAACCGGATGAAATTCATGCACTTTTCAGAGATATATTAGATGCAGACATCTAAGTCGTTGCAGAAACATCTCTTTTTGGAGAAACATTTCTTAAAAATGTTCCTGAAGCAGAATTCTGCAAGCTGGGACAGTGTAAGAGAAATCTGAGTCTCTCTTAAGGGTTCGAGAGCCCCAGTTTTTCCAGATTCTGCGTTCAATCGCTCTAAGGGAGGCCATATACTAAGATTCAGATGTGACAAGCGCCGGTCATATAAGTGGAATCAACCATATTGTAGTTTCATAGTTTCTTCATAGACAGATAAATCAGCTATCTCAAAGTCTATTATTGGGATCTTAAGTCAGCATTGGGAAAATTTTTCTGTCGTTTAATCTGATAATAAAAGAAAGAGACGAAATAGTTTGCTTGTTCGTTGATCGGATTAAGAACAGTTTCGTTCGTTTGTCACGATTATATAATAAAGAATAAATCTGAGCCTCCTTGAGGATTCAATCTCTAGACTAGTCTCCTTCGCAGCCGTTGTTTGGGCTCGTCACGCAACGCTCCCTCCCCGTTGCGTCACGAGCCCAAACAACGGCTGCGAAGGAGACTATCGCTAGACCTGCAGATCTCCTCTTTTGAATTCCTTCATTCGACGAAGGAGCTCGAAACTTACTCTCTTTATCTATTTTCATACGTGACGCTTTCGACATTGACTCGTGTGTTACATGACACAGGTGTAGGTCTTGGCTCATTAAAGAGTGTCCTGTAGATCTATGGTATAGCTTCACATCGTAAAATCCGAAGTTCAGAGATTCAAATCTTCAAGGAAAACTTAATGTCTCTTTTTCTCACGCTTGCGACGAATAAATATGATATTTCTCTGATTTTTTCGTCTTATCAGTTAACTCATTTCTACCCTTATATATAATCACTAACCGCTTAACATTGTATATCTCTTATATCCTAACTAACTAATTCAGTTCTCACCTTAACTCTTGTGAAAATGTGATTTTCCCCGCAAGCGTATAACAAACAATTCACTTGGTAACAGGAGTAGCTTTGATGAAGTTGAATACTATTAGAAGCATGAGGAAGTCGGTAGAAACCGAAAATTAACAACTGTTTCTTTCGACTCACTCGTAAGTCATGAATTTATTCTGAAGCTATGCCATTTCACCATTTACATGCCAAGTTGGTCTCAGACGTCATATTTCAACCTTTCATTTTCATAACTCTGAAGTATGGCACAGCTATATTAATATTCATCCTTTTCAGTATTTTTTTGAAAGTGTGGCTGGTCGTTTAAGAATCATGTCTTTTCGAAGGTTGTATTCAGAGTCTCACCTCTAAGTATAAAATCAAGATTTATTTCAGAAAGAAAATCGATCAAAACGAGCCTTGAAAAATCCTTCGAATTTTCCCGCAACCTCTCTGCGTTTCACCACAAACATCTGAAGTGCAGAATTGGCGCGCGTCATTTACACGAAATAAGTTCACCTTTATTATTTTTAGAAGTTTTATGGGGCAGCTGAGGTGGAGGCGGAAAAGTGAAAATTTGAGGAAATCCCAACGCTTTTCAGGGAAAGATAACGGGAAAGACCTTTATTTTATGTACTGTTTTTTAGCTCTAAAACCACCACATGAGCTTAAAATGTAAATCCAACAATTCATTACGAGAATTATAGAAAAACCGAAAAGAAGAGAATATTTTGTCGATTGAACATCATATTCTCCCCAATAAATCGCGAGGAAATTCATAAGAAAACAACAAGGGAAGCATCAACCCTATCTTTGGGATTTGTGGGTTAAGTAGTAGAGCACTTTGATACGATGTCACTTCGTTGCCACGATCATGTTTTCGAACAAAGCTGTGAAATCAAGAGAACATGTCCTCTTGGTGTAATAATAAACTTCTTTTCTATTCAGTTTTATATGGGGAGAGTGTCCTGCTCTGAGGAGAATCACGATGTTGCGGATGTTTTCCGCCGAAAGGAAAATAACTGAGTCTAAATCGCAGGATGACCTCTTCGCAATACGGAAAAATGCAAAAAAATCTTAAAAAGGAAACAAACTAACAAAAAACAACAAATGCATATACAAGATAACTTTTCATGAATAGCAGAGCAATTTTAATAACAAAACTGGAGTTAAATCTAAGATCGTAAATATGAAAAATTAAATGTTGTTATGGAAATAGTGAAGCAAAATATCATTTTTGATATTTTCAGGCATTTAGAACAGAAAAATGGCATCTTTTAATATTGTTGAATAATCCCCTCTATTTCGTCTCGGGGATTATTCGGCGATATTCACCTTGCCTTCGGCGAATAATTGTTAAATATAAACTATGAGATGAAGCTAACTAAAATCTCTAAAAGAGTTCATACTCCATGTGATCATCTTGAAACTAGCAAACTGAATTTCTCATTGGTTTTTCCAAAAGGCTAATGAAGTCCAATAGTTACCTTTACATGCATCGTTAATAACAGTAACTTGAAAATACTATGTACATGTAACTGGTTCTCTAAGCAGAGTTCATCAGTCCAATAATAACATTTTCTTACTTTCATATCAGATTTTTACACATCAAATAATCGCAACATTAACATCAAGGAAAAGTACACTTTTTAAAGACATTAACAGAATATCATTTACTTGGCGATATACATGTAGGAAGGATAGCCGGCATCACGCTTACGAAAAGATTGCCGCTTGGAGAGTGCTAACATGGTAGACACTGCTTTATTTATTTATTTATTTATTTACTCAAATTCAATTACACAGATAATCAAAACAAAAAAAAGGAGTTAAATAAAAATATATACAAGTATAAAAGGGAGATATCTGAGTAATTAGGCCAGTTTATACAGAATTCTGGATTCCTTATTTTAAATAAACTGCCTGTGACAAAATACAAAAACATGAAAAACTAACATAGCCAAATAGCAACAACAATAAGTAATCAAAAACTATAAAAATGTATTCTTACTTAAGTTAAATTTACTGATATAAAACTGATTCACTTTCTTACTAAGCAATGACACTCGATCAATTGTCCTAATAGCTACAGGCAGGCCATTCCATAAATTCACAATGCAATTAAAAAATGAGAATTTAAAAACCGTCGGTTCGAAAGCGACCCTTGGCAAGTATGGCTTTTGTATTCCTCATATCGTACTTATATGACTTGAAGCTAACATATGATAGGACGTCAAAATCAATGTACCCCTTCAGACATTTAAAAAAGAAACATAAATCCAAAACCTCCATAAATCCAAAACCTTAATTTTTCCTTTAGTATAGGGAAGGCCAAAAGAGCTTTGCAACTCATTGTTTTTCAAACTGGGTAAAAGTATGTTATTGAACTAAGCAGACCTTAGAATAAGTTCCTTGAAAGCTTTGTTTTTGTTTCACTTAGTTAATCAAAGT